AAATGCTTCTATGATGCACAAAGAGAATTATTGTTTTATTTATCGGCATCAACAAGGTGGGTGAGGGTTGGGGGGGGGGGGTATGGGGCCGAAGTACGTTTGTATACAGGATGAAAATTTGTTTTAAAACTTTGCAGATTTAAAAGTCTTTTTGATTGTATATTTTCGATAAAAACCGTGGTAAAAAATTGTTTAAAATATTTTATGAATACGGGATGAGACTTTGTACCTCGTTCATATTGAGTCTGCCACTGTCTCATCAGATGGTGGATCAAATTTCCTGCAAACAGCAGAGATAAAGTCTTTTTTTTATATTCCATCTTTGTACTTCTTTGTTAATTATTGTCTTTTTATTTCTGCCGTATTTCTTCTCTGTGTCTCTAGCATTGGTCTGCCCGATGCTTTCATTTTGAGTTGTGTTTTGATTTGCTCATCCTTTGCTTGTTTTTTTAGCAGAGATTTTACGGCGCTCGCAACTTCATAAGGTCATATGAGCGCCTGCGCTTGCATCCAGTATGCAATATCACATGCAAGAACAAAAGAATAAACAGAAAACAACTTAAAATACTTTGATTGCACAATTGCACTACATGCAAAAGGTGACACAAAGAAAAAGATAAAGGGGTTGCAAAATCTGAAGAAACCTTCGGCAAGATTAAATCTATTCTCTTAAATAGAAACATAACAGTGCACACAAAAAGAAAAAACACCTTAAAAGTAAAAGGTTCGTATGGTAAATCATTTTGTATAGATACGAGAGCTGGACTCTAAACAAAGACGCAGAGAGATGATGGAGGCCGCTAAAATGTGGCATTTGTGAGGCAGCGTGGTGGAATGAGGCTCTCGTCAATTTTCGGGCATGTAGAGTTATTGGTATCATCTTAAAGTTTGTTCACTTGTCTTTATGAGGATGAAACAAATATCCATTTATCAAAAATACAAGTCGAGATATTTGCGAATGAAGGAGGTGGGGTCACCTGTTTTCAGAAGTGAAATTAGTGAAAAAATGGCAGCCAAAGATTAGTTATTTCCTTAGCTTAAGAGTCCGTGGTAACTGAAAATTTACATTTTTTGTGCCTTTAATTAACGTTTTTCAGAAAAATCCACACAAAAATGATTTCTGTAATGGGCATGATAGATGTTGAGCCAAAAAAAAAAAAATGATAAAAATTCACAAACCTGCGGAAAAATGCAAGTTTCTTCACTTTGACTTTTTTGACGAGAGCCTGATTTCACCACGCTGCCTCACATTTAAAGAGAATAGTCAGAATCTCATGGACAGAAAAGAAAACAAAGGGAAATGCTCCTAATGGCAGGTTGTCAAAGACCAATAATCAGAACCGTCAGAAACGTTTAGATTTTTGGCAACAAAAATAGATCAAATAGACTAGAGAAACTACTGGTGTGTGGAAAGATGAAGGGAAGGAAGAGTAGAGGAAGACAAAGAACAACATACACAGGATGGTCTGAACAACTCATTAACGAAAAACACAAAGAGGGTAACTCGGTCAGAAAGGAATAGCAACTTCCAAAGAACTAAGTTGCATCAAGCTTCAAGCCTAAACTGTGGTAGAATTTCTTACCGCCGACAGTTGTTCATCATCAACATCTATGAAAGAATGAGATATATTTATCGTGATGTAACTGTTTGTGTTAGCATAAAAAAGGAGAAGACACGACTGAAACCAAATTAAATGAATAAATTTGTTCTGGTCTGCCATTGGGTACCTCGAGTTCTCAGAAATCTTACCGTTTTCAGCTTGAAAACATTTTCTCTCCGCATTGCACGGGCTTGAGACCGTCACACCGAAGTGGGCTGCATTAAAAATGTTTTTGACTTTTTTCTTAAGTCTATTTTTTTTTAAAGATTGTTTTGTCCCATGCCCGTTCCTAACAAACTGACGCCATGTGGTTAGTAAACGGTTACAGTTAAGATTAGGAGATAGAGATAGACACAGGAATAGAGATAGAGATGGAGAAAAGGATAGAGATGGAGATAGAGATGGAGATAGAAATAGAGAAGTCACAGCACAACATAGAACACTACACACATTTCAGGACATTCCGAAGGTTAAAGGTTAGCAAAACATTTTAGATCCTAACTTCCTCTGCTCCAAATGAGTCACGAGGTGGGCATTTCCCTCATTCCCACTCCCTAATGGAGTCATCACGTTTTGGTGGTCACGCTAGAAAAAATAGCCAAAATGTTGTGTACCCAGTCTCATCTACATGTGACCTTTATTTATGTTAGTGTTAGTCTACTCTACAGGGATCGAGACCGAAGAAAAAAAAACGCATCAAGAATGGATCATATTGCACGTACTCACGTCAAAGCCAGTCCAAAACAAAAAAGATAACAAGAAGAAAACAAAACAGCTGTCCTACAGTTCCCGACGTACTAAAAAAAAAAAAAAAAAGAAAGAAAAAAGAAAAAAGAAAACAAAACTAAATAAAACTAAACTTGAAATCTGTGCAAAGAGAGAAAGCAAGAGCCAGTTCCCCTCTGACTCTTAGTCTGTCCCTTAGACCACGAGACATCAAGTGTAAAACATAAGATTATTTTTACAAAAAGATAGAAAAATAAAAGCTAGCCTACGAAATAACGCTTACAAAAAAGAAATAGTTTTTATAATAAAAAGATATTAAGTCCCCGCCTCCGAAAATAAATCCCTTCTCTCTTCTAAATTGAAAGAGATAACCCCCTTCCATTTTTCATAACATTATATTAAGATAGTCTATATCCTTCCTCCCCATTTTTTAAAAAAAGGAGACCTCCCCCACCCCCTCAAAACCCCGTTTTTAGATCTGACTTTTCCCTCCTCTTTTGTCAAAATAAAAATAGTTTTTCAACCTGCTCTTTACCCCCCTCCCTCCCCCTT